ATTCTGAGAGTGCGGATCATTTGTTCTTGCTTTACTTTGTGGGGCTTTCACTTTGGAATAAATTGTTTGATTTTGTTGGCATGTCTTGGGTTGCTCCGATGACAATTTTATCTATGTTTTGTGTGGATTTTAGAGGATTGGGTACAACCATTATGAGACATAGGGGTTACATCTTGTATGAAAGTTAATAGTATACCACTTCTACGAATAGCTCATAATGTTGCGTCTCTTCTGAGACCAGGGCCTTTTATCATGACTTCTACTCGTTGCATACCTTGATCCACTACTGCACGAATAGCATTTCTTGCTGCGGTTTGAGCAGCAAACAAACTCTTTAGCATTGTGCTTTGTTTGCGATGGTGAGAAATGCAAGAATTTAAAAGATAAATAGGAGGTTGAATCTTTATGGGTCCGAATGCATTTTTTGACATCTTTTTGGGCTTTTATTACAAAGGATTTTGAAAATATTTCTCTTTTTTGCTTTACTTCGAGCTGGACAGCGACTATTGGAGTATAATTTTTTCTATATGGTCTTGTTTTTGTGCCTTTTTTTTTTTTGTCTTTTTGGGTTGGACAATTTGTCCACCTTGGTTTTTGACTCTTGTAATATATTTTGTTTTTTATTAATAAAATTGTTGTTTCTTATCAAAAAAAATAGGAGCAAAATGACATTGTTCGATTTTTATGTTCCAAGTACCGGAATGTACACAGTCAAAAGGAGTACACATGAGGATAACCAATAGGTGCTGAATAGTGCTTAGTGATCCTTGTGTATGCCACCTTGGCAATAAAATATTCATTCTTGGTTAAAACTGAATCCCTATTTCTCTGAGTCTGCTATGCTTAGTATCTTATGTATGCCAAAGGGAGCTGCTGCCATATGTATGCTTAGTATCTTGTGTATGCCAAAGGGAGTTGCCATTTTGGGGTGCCAAATCACCCATTTGCAACCTTGAACGGTGTTTTGACATCCCTGAATTATAAATCTGCTCCAATGGCAAATGCCAAAATAGGGTGTCATTTTAATATTTTTTATTGCTGCCAAAATATTTTAATATATTTTAACGGGTATCCTCTTTGGAGTTGCGGTTAAAAAATATAATTAAACCCATTTGCAATCTCTCTCTTTCTCTCTCCAGAGTTGCCAAAATTGCTACCCAAGAGCATTGATGTCATTTTCCAACCCTTGATGCCACCACCGTTGGAGTGAAAAATTTTGAATTTGGGGTGACATTTTGGCAGTTATGGGGTTGCCACCCCTGATGCCACTCTCCCTTGGAGTTGCTTATTTACCTATTATGTTGAGTGGACAGTGTTTTCCTAGTTGCAGGGCATAAAAATAGGAATGTCAAATGCATATTGTTGTTTTATGCTGGATTAGCAACTATTTTATCTGGAAAGGTGCCTGATATTCTTTCTGCATTGTTCTAAAAAATAATATATGGTCAAAATTATGTGATGGGACCACATCACTTGATGCTACAGTTTTAACCAGCAATACCAGTAATTTCTCATTTGTGGGTGTTAATTGATTTTCCTTGTGTCCTCCTTTTAAATGTCAGATCACTCAGCACAAGTGGGCATGGCCCTTTATGCAGCCAGTAGATGTTGAAGGACTTGGTTTGCATGACTATTATCAGGTAAAGCCTTTGCTTCCTGTGTGTAGATATATTCACTTGGATGTCAATGCACATGTCAATCCATGCTTCCCCTACTCCACCTTCTGCACCTATTTTTTTCTTGTATTATGTTATTATGTCTTTAACAGTGTAGCTTATGTTATTTGCCAGACCCCTTTATGACTTTTGTTTTTACATGGTGTTATATGACCTTAAGAATAGCAATAGTTCTTAATTTGCTGTGAAGGTATTGATGGGTAAATATGCAGTAAGTCTGTTGTAGATTCATTAGTTCCCTTTTTCCCCTCTTTTTTCTGCATAAAATAGACTGCTATAGCATATTCAAGTCTGTGCATCCCTGCGCATCATGCACCTGCGATCGGCATGAAATTTTGGAATTTTTCATTATTTAAAGAAGACCAAGTAGCATGGGAAGTGTCTCCATCTATTTCCTCATTTACTTGTTGCAACCTTGTAATTAGTGTTATTCTTTAAGTTCTCCAGGCATTTTTGCATTAATTTGTTTTAGGATGGTTTCTTGTAGGTCATTGATAGGCCCATGGACTTCAGTACAATAAAAAATCAAATGGAGGCCAAGGATGGTACAGAGTATAAGCACGTCCGGGAGATATGTGCTGATGTGAGGTTGGTTTTCGAAAATGCAGTGAAATATAACGATGAAAAGAGTGATGTTCATGTAATGGCTAGAACGTTGTTAGAGAAATTTGAGGAGAAATGGCTGCAACTTTTGCCAAAAGTTATTGAGGAGGTAATTGTCATCCCAAAGGACTTGTTAGCATCTAGTTTAGACTTCTCTGTATATTCAGCAGTGTGAAACATTGAGCTGAGGAGACATTTAGAATTTCATGAATTATTTTAGGGACATTCATTGACTTCCACACTTGTATACTCGCAGGAAAAAAGAAGAGAAGAGGAGAAAGCGGACGCACAGTTAAACATGCAGCTAGCTCGGGATGCTGCTCATGCCAAAATGGCTAGGGATTTAAGTAATGAGGTACGTCATTTTTTTGGAGATTGTTGTTTATTTATCACAATATTTCAGAATTGTGTAATACCTATGTATAAAGTGAAAAGTAACTCCTTGGAAACTGACAACTATTTGTGAGCTTTGTGTGGTACTGGCATCTTAAAGCCATAGCCTTCTTTCATTCTTGGAGTAGGATCTACTGCATGCTTTAAGTTTGTAACAATGTACCTTGAATTTTTTCAGCTTTATGAGGTCAATATGCACTTGGAAGAAGTCAGAAAAATGGTAGTACAAAAGTGCAGGTCTGTTCCAAGGCTATAGCTTATTATGTTTTCTCTGTCAGTGTAATAGTGTTTTCCATTAATGCACTAATTCAATTTATGTGTGTTTGATTAATGCCGGTGCACTGTACATTGTGTATTGCTGGCGCCATCATAGAATTTGAGGTTTGGAAACTAACAGTACATAATGTCAACTTAAGAATATGGAGAGTTCTGATCGTACATAATTTCCAAAAAATAGAATGTTCTAAACTTCAAGAATAATTCAAGGAGTTTCAACCAGCCACACGACATAACAAAACCTAGGTAAAACGCATACTACTTTGGCAACAAATGGTCCTTGTCTCAAGGTGTTGCTGAAACACTGATACAAAAGGCTAATGACACATCTCCCCACAATTAACTTGCTTTTCTCTTTTATCTAGTTGATTGTGTCAATACTTTCCCTGAGGATTAAGGATGCCTATGCCTTCTCTGTATCATTTTCTCCTTTCCAAAACCTGTTCCACCCTAGTATCTAGTAGGGATTTTTCTAGTTTTACTTGCGTAATAAATATAGTCATGTTCTCAAAGGAAACTAAAATTCTTGTAACTTTCTTTTTCTTCTAACTCTCATTGTCATTGCCCGCCTCCGTTAACCCCTCTTCTCATCTCTAGAAACGATGGTTTGAATCTGATAGCCTGTAGCTGTTCTAAAAAAAATATCTGGCAGCCCGTAGCTGTTGTTAAAATAATCATTGTACAGCTACACCAATGATTCTTGTCAATAGACACAATTCTTAGCTCGGTGACTGTTATTCCCTACAAAGAAGAATATAGGGGGGTGGAAATTATCATGGCAGGTTATGGGTATTGGTAGGATGCTATTTCTATTGAAAACTTCTAGATTTGTGTTGACAAAATTAATGAGTTTGGTGGGCCTATACTTGTTCGTTTACCAATGTATTGTTTGGTGCATAATTGTAATTACTAATTTGTACAATTGAATTAACTATCAAAGAAGAAGGAAAAAAAAAATAGACATAAGTATGAGCTTTATCAAGTCCCAACACAGTTTCAACATTCTTTTTGTCACACTTTTGCAACTTATAGAGTGTGAAATTATGTCAGATAGTTTGTGGGGTTGCATTTCCATGCTATTAATGCTAAGTATGAATAATTCTCTCAGAAAAATGTCCACCGAGGAGAAAAGAAAACTTGGGATAGCTCTAACTCGATTGTGTCCTGAAGAGCTTAGTAAAGCACTGGAGATTGTAGCTCAAAGTAATCCAGACTTCCAAGCAACAGCTGAAGAGGTGGACCTTGACATTGATGCCCAGGTGATCATATAACTTGCACTGAGCCTTTTGACTAAATTATCTTCATGTTGCCAAACTTTACATAATTAGTTTGGTACCAAGTTGCTGAGTGTATCATGTTCATTGTGCAGAGTGAATCCACTTTATGGAGGTTAAAATTTTTTGTGAGAGATGCACTAGAAGCTCAGAACAAGAGTTCAAGCATGGGTGGCAACAACAATGTCACCGAGGGCAATGCTGGGAACACAACTATTACTAACGCAGTGTCCAAACGAAAAAGAGACATCTGCAATGCTCTTGCCAAGACTGCCAAGAAACCAAGTAAAAAGCCTGCGTCTTAGTTTATACAATGCACCATATCAGCCACGTAGGTCATTGGGGCTGTGTGGTTTGCATTTCATCTGAACTGCTGTGATGATGCTCAGGAACAGAAGAACAAACTAGGCTAGCTTGTCAGAGAAAGGAAACATATAAATAAGGAGTCCAATTGTATTCTTAACTATTGAAAGCTGGATGTTTTACAAAATCAATTTTGAAGTCATTTTAGGTTTTAGAACTGTTTTCTGTAAATATACGTGAAACACTTGCTTCCTGTTATTGTTTGGGCAGATGCTCTTTGCTTTCTGGGATGTCTGCACCTGCCAAGTTTTTAGGATTGTGACGTGTAATTGGTAGTCTAATATTGAGGAAAAGTAAGATAAAAATGCAAATGTAGATCCAAATTATCCTGTTTTACAATAGAAAAGTTGATCGTGTTACTCCATATATGAACCATCTTGACATACTAGGAAGTACATCAACGGCCTGATCTACGCTTTATAAGCTTCTGATTGATGGGGTTAATTGGCCCCACACAACACAAGGCTATATATATTCAACCCTCGGCTATTTAGTTTTTGTTGTTGGTTATACAGAATCTTGAAAAACCGTCTCTCTCTCTCATGGACGACAAGTTTAACAATTACAAATAATTTTTGGCTGAATTGCATTTTATGCCCCCCAAAATTTTTTCTCATTTTATTAAAAATATTATAATATGACCCTTCTATTAGATTTTATTACTCATTACATTAACATCAATGTGGGTATTTTTGACAGAATGAATAATGAAAGTTAATTGAATGGTCACATTATAATATTCTTAATATATTGAGAACAGAATGTGAGAAATTTAATTTTTGAAGGTATAAAATAAAAAAATTTAAATCTTTTTGGGTGCAAATTATAATTCTCCATAATTTTCGGTGCTGAATTTTTTGTTTTGTTCCCATAGTCTAACCCTACAAACTAACTATAAATACGAGTCAGCTCTTCATTTGTTCGTTACAGAGAATCTTGAAAAACCGTTTCTTTCTTTTTCGTTTCCCTCCCTCTCTTTCTCTCTCTCTCTGCACCTCCTCACTCATCATGGACGACTCAAACTCCACCACCACCAACACCAATGCCACTGGCGCCACCGCCAACACCAATGACACGTCCATTGCCACCACCACCTCCGCCAGCACCAATGACGAGAACAATGGCGACAATGTCGAGGACAGTATTCCCCTGGAAACTATATGGCTGATGAAGTGCCCTCTGACGGTGTCTCGCTTCTTTCAGCAATCTCCTTCCTCTGACGCTCTTCTTCTTCGGTTGGTCCCGTCGCTAAGGTCACTGTCTCCATCGATCCTCGGCTTCCCAATGACGACTTATCTTCCACTGAGGCCGGTACCACCATTTCCGTACCCCCCCCCTCTCTCTCTCTCCTTTCTCTCTACTGTCAATCATATTCCTTCCTATTTTTCATACATTGTTCAAATGTTGACCAGGTTACAATGGAATTGGCTCTCACTGAATCTGGAAATACACCAAGTGTTTCTCGATGGACATGTCTACAGATTTCGTTCCTATGTTAGTGTTTTCAGAATCATCTCAAGGTTGGTATGCATCTTCTATCTATGCCTTGTTTCCATGTCATTAGTAGCTTGATCCCATCATTCTGGTTAATCAAACAGTCATTATGAATTTGAGACCTCATTTATACTCTGAAAACGATTACGTTCAGGAGATATATCTGTTTATTGCTTTGTGATTTTGTAAGTGATGCCTAGATTTTGGGTTATTCATCCCAGGTAGATGTTTTTTTTTCCCTTTAGAGACTCTTGGTTTGGAAATGTCTACTAACGCGGATGATATTGTTTCGTTTCTATAGGAGACCTTTCTGTGGAGGGGAAAATTAAGCAAAAATTGAACATGAAGCCTCGTGACAACATTGAGGAGTATGGAAAACTCACTAGGGAACGAACAAACGAATCTAAGGCTGGAATCAAACAGATACAGGTCTCTTTTTCTACTTCATATATATAACATTTGTTCTAGTTTTGTTATTTGGGATTAATTTAGTCTCTTTTTCTTTCCCTGCTGGTTTCTTTACGATTACATTTTTCAGGTGATCGACGATGATACTGGAAAATATAGAGAGCCTATGCGTTAATTACTTCCTTTTGCCATATAATTTCTTCATGTTTATTTTGTGGCAGTGGCTTTATATTATGCCACTTCATGCTGATATGAGAATGTACCTATAAATTTATAGCCTTTCCTTTTGAACAGGATAAGAAGAAAATGAAAGTGAAGGGATCAGAGATGAGAAGAAAAAGAATGGACCCTGAAGAGATGAAAAAGATTATGCTTAAACTTTTTGACAGGCAGCCAAATTGGACTCAAAATCAACTGGTCCAAGAGACAAACCAACCTAAAGTATGTTATTTCGATACCACCCCAAGTCCCCCCCAACATGTTCATAGATTTACGCACAGTATTATTTAGCACAAGCCATTTATGTGCCTATTCCAAGTGTTACAAGGAACTGTAGTCTACTTCTCTTTAATCTCTTCTTCTATCCTTTCTGTTTCATCTCTAGATTCTTACTCTAACTATGCTCNACCCCCCCCTCTCTCTCTCTCCTTTCTCTCTACTGTCAATCATATTCCTTCCTATTTTTCATACATTGTTCAAATGTTGACCAGGTTACAATGGAATTGGCTCTCACTGAATCTGGAAATACACCAAGTGTTTCTCGATGGACATGTCTACAGATTTCGTTCCTATGTTAGTGTTTTCAGAATCATCTCAAGGTTGGTATGCATCTTCTATCTATGCCTTGTTTCCATGTCATTAGTAGCTTGATCCCATCATTCTGGTTAATCAAACAGTCATTATGAATTTGAGACCTCATTTATACTCTGAAAACGATTACGTTCAGGAGATATATCTGTTTATTGCTTTGTGATTTTGTAAGTGATGCCTAGATTTTGGGTTATTCATCCCAGGTAGATGTTTTTTTTTCCCTTTAGAGACTCTTGGTTTGGAAATGTCTACTAACGCGGATGATATTGTTTCGTTTCTATAGGAGACCTTTCTGTGGAGGGGAAAATTAAGCAAAAATTGAACATGAAGCCTCGTGACAACATTGAGGAGTATGGAAAACTCACTAGGGAACGAACAAACGAATCTAAGGCTGGAATCAAACAGATACAGGTCTCTTTTTCTACTTCATATATATAACATTTGTTCTAGTTTTGTTATTTGGGATTAATTTAGTCTCTTTTTCTTTCCCTGCTGGTTTCTTTACGATTACATTTTTCAGGTGATCGACGATGATACTGGAAAATATAGAGAGCCTATGCGTTAATTACTTCCTTTTGCCATATAATTTCTTCATGTTTATTTTGTGGCAGTGGCTTTATATTATGCCACTTCATGCTGATATGAGAATGTACCTATAAATTTATAGCCTTTCCTTTTGAACAGGATAAGAAGAAAATGAAAGTGAAGGGATCAGAGATGAGAAGAAAAAGAATGGACCCTGAAGAGATGAAAAAGATTATGCTTAAACTTTTTGACAGGCAGCCAAATTGGACTCAAAATCAACTGGTCCAAGAGACAAACCAACCTAAAGTATGTTATTTCGATACCACCCCAAGTCCCCCCCAACATGTTCATAGATTTACGCACAGTATTATTTAGCACAAGCCATTTATGTGCCTATTCCAAGTGTTACAAGGAACTGTAGTCTACTTCTCTTTAATCTCTTCTTCTATCCTTTCTGTTTCATCTCTAGATTCTTACTCTAACTATGCTCAGTCTCTGCAGTTTTTATGTTATTAGTCAAGTATATTACTGCAGATTTTGCTTATTAAAATTCGGGTCCATAACATATTACCACACTACTACCTTGCCATTTCACCATCTTGGTACACTCTTTCGGGCTGGACCCTATTTGTTCTTGGATGGGATATTGGATTTCAAATCTGTCCATAATCTTATGCCGTGTATAAGAGGGTTCGGTTCTTTCTGATATAGCATTTCAGCCGAAAACCCTTAGCAAAAATGTTACCCTCCCGGAGTTTATGGATGATTGTGAACAAGTTCTTGGCATAATTGCTTGTGTTGTTGATGTTGTAAAATCTCTATTGTTCTTGTTCATCAAATGTTTACTCCTAGAAATGACTTGTTTTTGGCCTCGGTTCATTTTCAGGGATTTGTGAAAGAGATGCTTGACGAGCTATGTATCTACAATAACAATGGTGCCAAAGGAACATATGAGATGAAGCCTACCAGAGATCTGGAGAAAAACCGGATTCTTCATAGTTGACAGTTGACAGAATTTGATTCACTAATCCAGACAAACACTATACTTCTTGCTTATTCCTAGACTACATTTTTTTGTCGATTCGATTCCCCTTTTCACCTTGTAAATAAGTAGGTTAAATTCATCCATAGTTGATGAGAAAACCATGTTTTTGGGTCTTTGGCAATGTAGCTTTGTAGCAGAATATGAGTCATTTAGTGTTGTCTAGGACGAGATTGAACGTAATGAGTGGAAAGCATGTGCAAAATGTAGAATGCGTCTTTTACTTGTGACCATGGTTGTGGAACTTGGCTGCACCTCACTCCGCTCATTCTTTCTTTCCTTCCCCTCCCTGGAGCTACACTTGGCTCTACTCGAATAAGAGCACAAGATTTTCAACTTCAAGCTCAAATAATTTTTTAAACTTATTTAAAAAATGAGTCTAAAAAATTCGATTCGAACTCACAAAATTTGATTTATTTATATATAAAATAGTGTAGTTATTCAAGTTTGACTTATTTAGATTCGACTCATTTTTTAAATAAGTTGAATTTGAATAATTTTTTAAGTTTGTTTAAAAAAACGGACTCGACAAGCGCGACTTTATTTTTCCAAACCTATCATTCATCATTTTCTCCTTCAGATTCATTTATTAGAAGTTTGAAAAATAATTAGGAATTATAGAATTATAAAAAATGATTTTTTAAATAATTCAATAAGTATTGTTAACTATATTGAGTTTATGGGTAATTATTTGAGATAATTGGTAGAATTTGATTGGATGTTTTTTTATTTATTATTTAAATAATTTAAATAGAGTAAAGGTATGTTTGGTAACGTTTTCATTTTTATATTTTTTTTATAAAAAAAAACTAAGTTTTATTTTTTTGTAATAAAAATTAAAAATATAAAATATGTTTGATAGTCATTTATATTTAAAAAATTATAAAAACAACAATAAAAAATTTAGTTGATATTATACCAAAAAATTCACCTCTCAAACCCACTGACCACCCAAAACCACCACCCAACCCCATTGATCACCCAAAACCATCACCTAACCCTACCACCGAAACTCATAATCCACTCCTACTGTTGAAACTCATCACCACAACTATCAAAATCCAACCCAATCCAACCCCCACCATTGAAACTCACCCCTACAACCACCGAAACCCAACCCTAATCCAACCCCCACCACCGAAACCCACCCCTACAACCACTGAAACCCACCCCTACAACCACTGAAACCCACCTACAATCCAACTTTCACCATCGAAACTCACAACCCACCCCCATCCCCAAATGCACCCGCACCCGCACCCCCACCATTGAAACCCAAAACCCACCCCCACTACCGAAACTCACTATCCACCCCCCTAAAACTCCTCAACAAAATCCACTACCAATTCCTGAAACACCACCGCCCCCAAAACCCACTCCTGAAACTCTCCAGCAGAACCATCAAAGAAGGACGAAAGAGAGAGTGTGAGTCGAGAATTGAGAGACCTAAAAAAATTTAAAAAAAAAGTTGAGAGAGGAGGTTTTTATACTAAAACAAAGAAAATTTATTTTTTTATTATTAAAGAGAATCGAAATGAAGATCTCATTAAATGGGACATTTGAACTGTGCATGTATTTTTTTTTGAATATTTTCAAAAATATTATTTTGAATGTTTCCATATTTTAGCCTTATTTTTAAAACGAAGAAGTTAAAAAAAATAAAAATATTTATCAAACACATTTTTATTTTTTTTAGCCATAAAATAAAATCAAAAACGAAAAAAAAAAAAAAACAAAAATGTAAAGTTACCAAACGCCGCCTAAACTTGCAAAGTCCTTTTCTCGAAAAGAATGATTGTAATACAATTTTTTGACAATCTCTTGTTATTATATAATTATTTTTTAAAAATCATGCATAACACGGGTTTGTTATTCTATGGTCTGAAAAGGAAGTTGTATATCACGCCTATAAATGGCGCGTGGGCTTAGCAATTTGTGAGTGAAAGCATGTCAGAATAGAATACTCGGCTACCAAAATCTGACCTGTCTCTATTCCCATTCCAATGTCAAATTAGGCGTGTGCTTAGCACGGCGTCGTTTACTTTCTTTCTCTTACAAATTGCCTCTTCCCTTCTTTTCTTCTTCCTCTTTCACCTCCATAGTTTACCTACTCTCTCTCCTCCTTGTAAGATCTCTAGATTTCTGATTTTCTGACTTCGTAGCGTCCGAAGGTATGATTACACGTTTTCCTGTTCGACAATTGTAGATATACATGCGTTTGTGTGAGCTTTTGTGGGTGATCTGTTGATTTGTGTTGAATAGGGTCTTTTGTTTTAGGTTTGGTTGATTCGAGGCGAACTTGTCAATTGCTGTGTGATGATATGTATATGTAAAGGGTTGTGATGTTGAAGTTGCAATTTTGATCCTTCATGTTGTTTAGATTGCTGAATGAGTCTTTATGTTCTTCATGTTTTTTTAAGATTGCTGAATGAGACTTGAATTGTGATCCTAAGGTCCTGTGTTCAACTCATTGCTTCTATAAGAGTCTCATTTGTCTGTGTTACTGTGATTCAAAGAGTCCTAGCAATTGAGGTTTGCACCTTTGTATAATTTGGTTGAATATAATATATATGTTCTAGGTGTATGTATGTGATACTTAAATTTTGATAATCTGAAACTTTAGGTTCATTTATTTGGTCTAAAAGAGGTTTTGGTTGAGGATTGATGATTAGGTTGTTCATGCAATGTATAAAGACGTGTGTATTCTGAAATTCATGGGACTCATTGTTGTATTTTGTTTCATTGCTTAGTATGTGATGTACATACATATCTTCTTGACACTAATTGGGAGAGCTTGATATCTTTTGAGCACAAGTGTCAGTCAAACAATTCTTTGGCTTTGTCATCTTCTCATGGAACTTATTTTATGGGGTTATAAAGTATAAACCAAGGTTGGGTCCCAAAGGACTTGGAACCTTTTGAATCTAACAACCCTTATTTATAGCTTTAGAAATTGGAAAATTGCTTGTTAATTTTAGCTATCAAGAGGAATTGGTGTTCCATATGATCCATCTTCAATCGGGTCTCTAAAAAAATTGGGTTGTCTTATAGGGTTGTGACCATGGCATGTGATTCCATGTACAAACATAAGAGCTTTTATTCGATGATAACAGGCACCTCGTTTTCTGTCCATTTAAATATTCTCTATAGATGTGTTCACTTCTATGTTATTTTCTATTACTTGCCTTCATTTGTACTCACTCAAGCACAAACATATATTCTATTTGAGTTTGTAATTGCTGAACGCTGGAATTTGTATTTAGTTTGATGCTGGACTTTCTACAAATGATGAGTTTGACTTAGAAGCCTAAGTGCCTAACAGACACATGAGACTATTCTTCTGATGTCAAAGTTTATAAGCCGTGTGATTTTACTATGTGACTTCAAGTCATGTCTGTCCTGCTCCTACGTATGTAGATATACACCACCATTGTGGCCAATTAACCTTAGTTTAAGACAACTGATCATATATCTAAGTTTGAGTGTGCATAACATTAGAAGTTTTAGATAACTCTGCTAACAATAGGGATCGTGTACATTTTTTCCGCTCCAGTAGCATGTGGTCTTCTTTTTCTACAGGGGTTGTTGATGTTTCCACTTTTATTTGCAATCACACACAATCTAATTTTGATAATTCTTATAATTTAAACATTTCTTTGTTTTGTTGGTTTGATCAGCAAGATATTGAAATATTAAAATTGTATTTGCCATTTTTCCTATTTTGAGACATACTGTGGTCAAGGCGATGTTGTTTACACTTCTATCCCCTCTGTGCAGGTCATCCAGCTGTGAAAGCAATGGAATTTTTCTATAGGGACACAACTGGGAACTCTTTACCTTCTCACCAGGACATTGCAAGATGTCCATTTTTGCGGAACATTAGTGAGCCAACTAATTTTTCGTTGTCATCTGCGGCTTTTCCGATGCCGGTAAGTTTTATATTTCTTTTTTCTGCTGGCATTCAATTGCATATAAAAATTCTTTTTCTGCTCTATCTGTTTTGGGTGTAGTCAAGGCATATGGCTTATGAGATATAAGTCTCCCTTTCCACTATGCCTTTCAATTAACAATTCTTAGCCTTGGCATAGGGTAACTATATACGGGTTCCTGACTAGTATTTGGATCCAGCATTGTCTGTTTGTCTGAGGCTGGCTCCTCCTCATGTGGGAGCTCAAAGCAATGATGTATTGCATGATGCCTGACCCAGCCATTAGCCTTACTAAGTTAAAGGGGAACACAATTTTATTTTGTTATGTTTTGTTTTCTGCTCAGGTAGGTGAAGCCAAGGGCCCTATATTCGAGGATGGTCCCAATTTTGAAATTTCATTCAGGCTTTTCCATGGGCAGAATGGCGTTGTCCCACTTTCTGGGAGATCATTCTTTCATCGTGAGAAGTTGGAGTCTGAACCGGAAGCACCACAGTTCAATCCTTTAGCTGCAAAAGCAGCTACAATCAGTCTCTCAGCTTTCGGGCCGGGAGGACCCTTTGGGTTTGATGCATTTTCTGAGAAGAGGAAGAATCAGAGAAAATCTAAATCATCTAAGAAGGAGTCTTCTTCACAGGTATGATTCCCAACCCTGCAGTAAATTTTCCTTTGTCCGCAGTGGAAGTTCCTAGTTAGTAACATTAATTATTTTGAGATTGATGCTCATCTCTAGATGACACATAATTCGTAGCAATTCTAGATGGAACTTGCAAATTCAACACAAAATTAGGGGCTGTAAGTTTAACCTTAGGGGTGGTAAACGGGTGGACCCACCAAACTTATTTTTGAGTCGAAACCTAAGTCACACAGAGCGGGAGCGGGAACAGGAACGAGAGAGCGGAAGATTTTAAAAAAATCTCAGAGCTGAAGCGCTTTGAGAGTGTCATATTATATACCTATATATATATACATATATATAATTTGATGAAAACAGAATTAAAAAATAAAATTTATACACAAATGTATGATAAATTATTTGAATTTATTTAATTTGGTAATGCTGAAGGGCATCCCACATCGGAAGGCAAGGGAAAGTGGCTGCACATGGTAGGCATTTTTATGCTTGAAGTTTGTCCCACATCGAAAGATTGAGACTAGCTGTAGGCAACGCATTGTGACTCTTATACGGTTGTTAAAGAGGGGATACATTTTAGTGTTTATTGGGCCTGTTAAAGTTTTAAGATTTTGGTCCAATTAAAGTTTAAAATTCCGAGGCTTTGACTTGGGCTTAAAATTTTAATTTTGCGAATTTAAATTTTGAATTTGCGAATTAAGTAAAATGAGAGTGCCGAAGCGGGAGAGCCTGGGGGTTAGGGGGCAGATCATGTGACTAAAGGCGAAATGAATTTAACTACACACATTGTGTACTTGACATGGGCTTGATTCAATACAAACCTGACTATAGGGCTATCAAAAGTGGCTCGGGTGAGTTGAGCAAACTTTGACATATCAGAACTTACACAAATTAGAAATCCGACACGACAGGACTCTTTTTAACAAAATGTTCAAATTGGCATTTTTGACCTCTCTTGACAATTGTTTATTTTGCTTTTGCAGGGAGGAGACTCAAAGCACGAAGCGATGAGCAACGAGTGGTTGCAAAAGGGGAACTGTCCGATCGCCAAATCATACCGAGCAGTGAGTCATGTCCTGCCACTTGTGGCAAAGGCTCTGCAGCCCCCTCCTGGCATGAAACTCATGTGCCCCCCAGCAGTAGTCGCTGCCAGAGCAGCTCTAGCAAAAACTGCCTTTGCAAAAAACCTCCGGCCCCAATCTTTGCCCACAAAAGTACTTGTGATTGGGGTATTGGGCATGGCAGCAAATGTTCCTTTAGGTATATGGAGAGAGCACACGGAGAAATTCTCAGTTTCATGGTTTGCAGCTGTCCATGCGGCTGTTCCATTTATAGGCATGCTTAGGAAGTCTGTGTTGATGCCCAAAACAGCCATGGCATTCACCATTGCAGCATCTATTCTCGGGCAGGTTATTGGCTCTAGAGCAGAGCGATATCGACTGAAAGCTGTTGCAGCCAGATCCGATCAGCCAGGAGTGGTTGGAGTTGATGGACAGTGTGGCGAAATTGTTGAGTGGAACACGTTTCCTCTCCATGTAGCAGGGCCACCCTCATCGACTGAAGTGTGTGGCTGATGCTTTTGGTGCGTATGATTGTGTACTACATGCTGCTCCCAAATGTGCTTGTCCGAATGTCCATTGATCTGTTTGTTGTGTTTCATTCTTTATTGCTCCCTTGGATCTCAAGGATAATTCTATTATTGGGATGACTATCTTTGATTACTTCTAAAACAATGAGAGCAATTGAGTAGATGGGAATGCTGGACTGCAGAGCCTTCAATTGTCTGGCGCAGTGTTGTCCATCAAAATAATATCTCCCATGTGTTTGCTGAATAGGACTGAGAGATTATTCTTATATTTACCCTGCCTTTACCTGTTATTACAATCTTCAGCAGACAAGCCTATTCAATATAGACTCTTTACACCCAGCCAAAAAGAGTGTCTCAGATTTTTACTGACGGCTTCCATGGGCAACTTTCTGACTTGTATGTATTGGCCGGTGCACCTCTTGAAGTGTAGGTTTCGTATATATTGGTGTTTTTGCATCACTATAGTAGATTCCTTGAATGTTGTGCCGTGTATCATCGAAAATTCACTGTCTTCCTCGTGTTTCCAATGGGGTGAACTCTGCAATTCTCGTCCTAAACTTAAATATCAGTTAAAACTACCCCTCAGAAAATATGATGATTTTCTCCGATGGTCTCAAAACAAATGAACATGTAAGCACTAACAGCAAATACTGGCAATAAACCACAACACATCAATATTAATAATCGCATAAAAGGGTTAAAAAACACGTTTTAAAGTTAAATTGAGAAGGAGAAGAAATGGCAATTCTTAGAATCTCAACCTTTCTGGTGACAATTTGAGCACTTTCGGACTTCAACCGTGCATCTAAACAACTTCTCCTTTCAAAAAGCTTTACGAGCATGAATAAAAATGGATGGATACAATATACAAGGACAATCCCGAAACGAATGTGATCATAAGAATTCTGCCTCCTACCAAACTACACAACAGATTATTCTGTATTTCCATCAAATACAACAAATACAAAGCAGCAGCTGAAAATATTACATCCATCTAGAATCCTGTAACCAAAAAGACTGGATTTGAGAACCGTCCGTCCATTGCCCTATTCCTGCTGAATTGAAGTTACAAAAACTATTATACAATGCGGCAAAAGAGAGTCATTTGCCGCCAAGGGCCTTCTACAAAAGGCCCTTCACTTCTACTACCTGCCTATGTCCCCCTTACCTCTCCATGAATCTTCCTCCCTGATTATGCTCCCAGCATGTGCACTGTATTGTTCAGATTTAGCATAGTGCATTTTAATGGCTGCCACAGGATCTGAAACTCCAGTGCACGAGGCCCCCACAAGAATCCCTCCTCTCCCCACGACATTGATCCCGACCATCCCCTTTGTTTGTGGTTGTACACTGGAAACTGCCTCAAACCTATTTCGTCTCTGCATCTCACACAATAATAAGTCCTGTTGCTGTTTTGAATCTAGTGTAAAAGGCTGCACTCTGGTACCATCTCGACTCCTGTACACCTGATAATCAGCCACTCCATTGCTGCTACTTATTTCTCCTCTCGAGAAAACTGTTGCACCATTCAAAGTGCTTTCACTAGTCTTTACAACGTTGTGTACTGGCTGCTGCTCCATTTTTGATGAGGATGTTGAATAATTACCAAATGCAGCAGGATATTTAGCCAGCAAAATAGCAGAATCAGGCAAAGAAGGGAACCCTGTCTGTATTCTTTTCCCATCCCAAAATCCATAGCTCCTCATCGGAATATTCTCTAGGCCAAGATGATTATTGCTGTCAAACTTGGCCAGAGCTGCATTTCCATCGGCACACTGATTGCCAGAGAATTTCAGGTTAAAGAACTTGCCACTTGATTTAATAGGAGGTTGAGCACTCTTGTCTTCATTATCATGTGTACTGGAATTTGGTTTCTGCTGAAATGAGGGGTGGGTGAGAATCTGACCAAATAGTTTCACATCACCGTTCTTGCACGGTCTCTCCACATCTGATGATCTCCGGTATGGGGGTCTAGGAAGATCCCTTGTCTGTTCTTGGGCCAGGAATGGAAGTTCAACCATAGAACCGTGATGCTTTGAACTGTTACACTTCTGCAGATAGCGATCCTGTTCCAGACACCGATAGGAGTGCAGATTTCTATCTGACTTAGAGATGGTTTGAATTGAAGCTGGTTGCTTGCAACTGATATCCCCATCTCTTTCCTTCTTAGTTGTCATGGATAATGGATAACCCCTGAGAATATGGGAGGATTCAACAGGGTCCAACAACGAATGCCCAGATAAATGTTGGTGATAATAATCCATACTGACAGATTTCTGACACTGCTGATCACTGATCTTTTTCAAATCAAGTGTTGATGGCGTGTCATTATTAAGGGTATTCTCATATTGAACTGCAGCAGAACCATGGGGTCGAGGATTCATAGTGACAAAATTCTCCTGCTTCAACAAGACGACACGATGCTTTAGTGCAGAATCCAACTCCAAGTTGGCTTTATGATGGTATCCTGATATAACACCAAATCCCGAGGAAGAATGTGTATCATCAACAAGATCAGAAACATCTGTAGCACCCAGGGGCACAGGATTCGAATTTCGTATGGAGCAATTTGAGCCAGTCACACCACTTTTATTGGCACTACTGTGTTCAACTTGCTTTTCACTCAAGCTACCTTTAGGAAGCATAAGTTCTTGTTCTGCAGCAGAAACCTCACCTCTCACATCATCAGCACCTGGACTAGTAAGCAGACCATCGTCATTCGGTGCTCCAACAGATATTGTTTTCTCTAAAGTCCCCGGTCCAATAGCTTCATCTCGTCCAGTTCCTGGTTTAGAGAGCAAATCTGCACTTTCCTGGTCAGCAGCCAACTCCCTACTTATCCCAATGTCGACATTACTGTCACCATCAAGATCCAGCTCCGACTTAGCCTCCACCTGAAGGTCATCAGGAGCCAAATTCTCTGACCTAAGCTGGCTACTCTTACAGCCCAATTTTCCGGGCCTATTGTTTTCCTCTGATTGATTTCGGTTGGGCTGCAAACCATTAATGGTCCCCACAGGATCAGATACACCATGGTTTATCTTCAACTCTGAGAACGGCAGATCCTCATCCATTTTAGAACCCAATTTATCACCGGATATAACTGGGCCAGTCTCCACAATGCAAGCATCGTCAGCATCACTTCCACCTCCATTAGCTTCGTCACTCACTGGTGTTCCTTGATTGCCAGGCCCAGGATGAATCCTGTCCAGTCCAAGGCACTTCCGAGCCTTGCTAAAAAATACCTTGCATTGATCCCTAGACCTTGTTTGAACACATCGTGAGATCAAGTTGAAATCTTTGCCATAGGACGCCACAGCCTGTATAAAGATTGATTTCTCACCATCAGTCCAATCAGCAGAATCCATCTCTCCACAACTCTCGTCCGAGCAAGTCTCATCATCAACTTTCTGGGTAGCCTCAGGTGTCAGAGGCCACCTCGTTGAAGAACCCACTTTTTTGCACTTCCACTCCGGGTAGCACTCTCCAGGATCAACAGAACTTGTAATGCAAGAACTCATAGCTTCTGAGGAAAGGGAACCACAGATACCCGCCAACACATCAGCGGCCACAGTTTCTCCCTCGTTAGCAAAAATATCAACACCACTGGACCTCTCCAATATGCCAACCTCACCTCTGGGTACCTTGTAATCACTAGATGCCCCCAAAACGAACCGAGATTTACACTTATGCTGAAAATCCAAGCCATCGTCAACATTAGCTGCAATTGCTGAAGCTGCACCCAACATATCAAGGGAAGCAGCATTAATCTCGCGATTCCATCTTTTCCCCGATGTAACCAAGTAGGTACTGGTAGAACAGGGCTTCCCTTGCTTTGCGAACTCTGGCTTCTTCTTTGCCTTCTCAAAACAATCTGACTTGTGGTTCTTGTAGTAGAACTCAATGCAATCTGCAGTTGTTTTGTGATCAAGAAAAGAAGCAATCTTTCTGAAGTCTTTCCCAAAGATAGCAAGCTTGTCGATGAATTTTTCCTTCTCTTCTGGCATCCATGGGTTGATCATAGTCCTTTCCTTCTCAACACCACAAGGATCTTCCACTAAGCCATTACTAGAAATCAACATTGACATCATCTTCTCCTTCTTGTCCAAGATTAGAGACGGCATCTTCAGCGTATTCCTGTAGAGCTTGACCTGCGATTCTGAAAGCAACTTGCTTGTAAAATTGATTATCTCTGTGGTGGGGACCAGGCTCAAATTCCCAGCTGCAAAGATAATGCAAATGAAGGCATATTAAATTCAAACTATATAAATTGGTCAAAAATTAATTTCACATAGCATAAGCATCTCACACAACCAAAGCTGGGAAACAGAAGATAATATAAACTATTATTTGCATGTACGATATAGACACTTAGAACTCAAGATAGTTGAAATTGATAATATACTGGCAAAGCTCTGGTGGCAGAAAAAAGCTTACTAAGCTACCAACAAATCGCTCAAAAATGTCCAATCTACACAGCAGATAGATAATGCATCTCACCAAACATGTCCAATAGTCATGATTTTCATTACCAATAATAAATTTCCAACTAACTCACGCATAAGCTTCTTTCAACTTTATACACATTCTTCACAATGTGCCAAGTGAAATCCCACTGAATGCAAGTGGAACTGAACCTATGCCTGTGCATGCTCTCAACCTTTCAAATCTCAATCAATCAAAACTCCCAAGTACAAAGCACCTCTCTTTCATAAAATTTTAATGTACACACAAAAAATCCACTTAATGGTAAATAATTTGGCAATCTGCCCTATTTTGGGGTAAATTTAGGGGGTAAATTTTCTGTAAAAAGTCATGATTTTATGAGAAAAAATACCCCAAAATAGGGCAGATTGCCAAATTATTTACCATTAAGTGGATTTTATGAAGATGCCACATGGAAACGGTTTCACACAGATAATACATGGTGCACACTGCTCAGGCAAAATCACCATAACCTTATCGATAGTGGGCATCTAAAAAGATTCTAGATTCAGATCTATTCCTTTTTTAGTGTTGTTTTTTTTTTTGGAAAAGGGGGAAGAGGGGGGAGCTGGTGTTTAAACATTTTATTGGACACAATGACGGATTCTCATTAATTAAGTTATAACAACCAGTTTCACCAAAACTCAGACTGTTCATCAAGCTTTCTGTGAAAGGTACTCCCCAAAAGTATCCACTTGAAAGTGCTATGCTAACCCCATCTTCCTTGCAAAATCATCATAGCCTCCATACTGCAACAGAGCATCATGCAAAAAATAGGCCATATGTTGCATAGAAGATAACGGAAACTCCTTACACGAAAGATAATACTATCATGCAAATTACTCATTGACAGAAAATGATGAAAAGCAGCAGGCTGTATTACATTGGCAAAACGTGCTCAATATCTAACACCTTCAAGCATTCCACTGCATAATTAAACAATCCAAGCGGGAAACATCTTCTGAAGATTCAAGTGCAATGCTTTTAAAATAAATAACATGTTTCCACAAAGCTAGAAATATTTGCCAGCCCATAAACCTTGCACTTATCTAAGGCATCTGTAGTTGGATGTCCTATACTCAATAACACAATAAAAACTTGCACAATAATTGTTCAGGTTCGAGGATACATTGTCTAAACCATATCCAAGGAACATGAGTAGCAGAAAAATAACCTGGAAGACAAATGTTGTGAAAGAAGAAATAGGAGTTAAAGACGAGTTCCTAACTAAATCAGTTTGAAAGAGAATCAGGAGTTACTTAAGAGCAACAACATATAAAGGGTTTGCATTTCAAAATTCAAATGGCAACATTAATTAATGAGTGTGATGCTAACAGAAGAAAGAACAAACACATGCTGGGAATAGAATCCAAAAAATATTTTCCAATATTTGAGCAAAAATTTTCAATTTTGATGGCTAATGAGTTCAGACTATAGCATGTAGTTCTCTATCAGCATCAGTGCCATATTTTGTCAAGCAAAACTATGACTAGATACTTAAACGAGTCCAAATACAATTTTTATTCCCCATACTGCTTAGCAAGAAATCTTATGAAATCAATTTCTGCCTGGCAAGAGAAAGGAGGGGAAAACCACAACCATGCTTGGAGTCATCCACATGCGAGTGGAAAACCCCATACTATTCAAGCCATAAAGCCTACAAGTAAAATTTCTAATTGATAGAATTAAAAGAAAAAAAATATATATATATAGCTCAAGTGGGTAATTTCAGCAATAAGCAAAGCGTATACCTCAAGTTATCACTTATCATAAACACAGGATTTCAGAAATTCTTATCAAACTTGTCTAATTCATGTCACCAAACTTTCCCTCAAACCAAATGGGATGAAACATCCCAATCTTAGCCAGATTAAGGCTACCAAACTATTTATAGCTGTGATACCAAAATATAGTATTTTTTTCTAGGGATGTCAAACATGTCGGATTGGGTTATTTCGTGTCGAGTTCATTTCGAGTGTGTCGAAAATCCCAAAACCTAAAACCTAAAGCCCAAAACCCAAAACCCAAAGCTGACATGTTTAATAATCATGTCGAAATGTGTAAACATTACTATTAAACAGGTTACCTGAACCCAACTTGTTTAACACATTTAATAAACAGATCGTTTTCGGGTTAACACACATAACATAAACTTGTTTAACACACATAACTTGTTTTCAGTTCATTACCATTAAATACATCATTCAATCATTCATTCNTGAAAGAAGAAATAGGAGTTAAAGACGAGTTCCTAACTAAATCAGTTTGAAAGAGAATCAGGAGTTACTTAAGAGCAACAACATATAAAGGGTTTGCATTTCAAAATTCAAATGGCAACATTAATTAATGAGTGTGATGCTAACAGAAGAAAGAACAAACACATGCTGGGAATAGAATCCAAAAAATATTTTCCAATATTTGAGCAAAAATTTTCAATTTTGATGGCTAATGAGTTCAGACTATAGCATGTAGTTCTCTATCAGCATCAGTGCCATATTTTGTCAAGCAAAACTATGACTAGATACTTAAACGAGTCCAAATACAATTTTTATTCCCCATACTGCTTAGCAAGAAATCTTATGAAATCAATTTCTGCCTGGCAAGAGAAAGGAGGGGAAAACCACAACCATGCTTGGAGTCATCCACATGCGAGTGGAAAACCCCATACTATTCAAGCCATAAAGCCTACAAGTAAAATTTCTAATTGATAGAATTAAAAGAAAAAAAATATATATATATAGCTCAAGTGGGTAATTTCAGCAATAAGCAAAGCGTATACCTCAAGTTATCACTTATCATAAACACAGGATTTCAGAAATTCTTATCAAACTTGTCTAATTCATGTCACCAAACTTTCCCTCAAACCAAATGGGATGAAACATCCCAATCTTAGCCAGATTAAGGCTACCAAACTATTTATAGCTGTGATACCAAAATATAGTATTTTTTTCTAGGGATGTCAAACATGTCGGATTGGGTTATTTCGTGTCGAGTTCATTTCGAGTGTGTCGAAAATCCCAAAACCTAAAACCTAAAGCCCAAAACCCAAAACCCAAAGCTGACATGTTTAATAATCATGTCGAAATGTGTAAACATTACTATTAAACAGGTTACCTGAACCCAACTTGTTTAACACATTTAATAAACAGATCGTTTTCGGGTTAACACACATAACATAAACTTGTTTAACACACATAACTTGTTTTCAGTTCATTACCATTAAATACATCATTCAATCATTCATTCAAATTTTAAATAATTTTTTTACAAATAACATATCACATCTCATCAATGAAATTAACTAAAATGCTTTTAAGTTTCAACCCAAAAATAAACAAGAACTATGCTACTATATTGTCATAATAATATTAAGAACTATTCTGTCAATTATCATAGTAGAAACAAGAAATAATAAGTAATAATATTAAGACCACATCAGTCATTTATAATTAGCAAAACGGGTCTACAATGGATTAGGTAGGGTTCGTGTCCGAATCATGTCAACCTGTTTAAAATATACAGGTTAATCAGGTCAAAATCGGGTTAACTAATTTTGACACGAGCCCGATTTGATTTTTTTCGTATTTAAGCGTGTTGACCCATTTTAACCCATTAACTCGTTTAATTTCATATTCAACTCATTAATTTCGTATTCGGTTCATGTCGTGTTAATATGTCGTGTCGAAAATTGACAGTCTTATTTTTTTCCATTGAGGAAAAACAAAATTTCCATGTCACAGAGTGGAAAAGCATAAAATGGTGGGCAATGTATCCAACCCGAGTACAAAAGGAAATCAAATAGAAAATTATAATAGGACATCAGCACGTGTATGAACGGTCGAACTTCGGTATACCTAGTTCAAAATAAACATGTAAAGTCAAACTTTGATGTTTCACTACCCTTTCGACCTGAATCCTAATGTAAAGAGTAACAATTCCCAATGCAAACAAGAAATAAACCGACTTCTAAATATAGAGAGGAGTAAAAGGTTGAAAAGCCAACAAAAAGTGAACAAAGAGAGAAGTCAAGTCACAACTTTACATACCAGCAGATAAAAATCGAGACCGAATCGAGGAGCGATGCTTTGGATAGCCTGTATGCCCAGGACGCAAGCTCAGATCAAACTTTTTCTGGGACTTAGCACGATGATTCCTCATAGAAAGCAGACGTAGATCTTCTTTCCAGAGGTGTTGAAATGCTCTAAACTTGAGGGTCAAAACTCTCTCCTTAAATCTTACAAATCGCTTTCGTATTGCAAATTTTTCCTTTATCAGTAAATCATTTTGTAGGCAAGAGACACTGGCAACTCTAGAAATATCAGTATGGCATTGGTTGGTTGGCAATAACATATTAAATACTTTTGAAGCTCTATTCGCAAACTCTTTGTTGGACGCAAATATTGACTCACATAAAATATCCCCTCCATCAGAATCAGTAGAAAGAGAGGCACACCTATTGCTGACTATCAGCTGACAAGCTTCCCCACCATAAATCACGTCCTGCTGTCTAGATCTATGCTTATCCAAATTCTCAGAACATTCACTACATCTCACTCTATCAGACTGTGAGACAGCCTTCCCCAAAGACAGTGGTTCAACAAAGTTTGAGGTCGCAGTGCCTGGACTATCACTATCTTCATCTTTGACTCCAGCATGTTCTTCTTCTTCATGGGCATTACGTGGCCTCTCTATAATCATATCTACAGCAGAATCAATTTGCAATGAAGCCGGTCTGAGCATTAAATTAGAAGCATCAGCTAGTTCTTCACAAGGATTTGCATGGCACTCCGTTGGCAAAGAACTAGAAGAAGATGGACAACGAGAGCTACTCCCAGGTTCAGGAACAAATGTCTTTAGTTCGTTCTCCAGCGAATCAATCTCAGATTCAGTCATTTCTAGTGCCTTTAATATGTCACCTTTCCATACCAACAACTTGTTCCTAGCAGTAGATCTCACATAACCAGAACCCACCAAGCTTGGATCATCAGATTGCAGCAATTCACTAATTGAAGAGCTCAAATTCGAGTTCAAATTTGCAATTGAGGTAAGTTCCAACTTCTCTAGGTTAAAAGTTAATCCCTCAGTGTGATCCTGAGACAAAAGGCCAGGTGATCCACTTAAAACACTAGAATCATTATAAATATTTGCTCCCTTGACAAATTTGTTATCCTCCATACCTGTTATAAGGAAGGAAATTCTTCAAATTAATATGCAATTTCACAGTTAAATGATCAAAACTAGATAGAAGTATTTTTTCGCAAGAAACACAAGAGAAGATATACCACAGAGAGCACGAAATGTTTATCTATTCAAACAAACTTAATCCATCAAGGATTTCGACATTAGCATTTGCACTTAATTTCCTGACCATACAAGGATAAAGGAAAATTAAGAACCTAATTGCAAAGGGAGCAATGGAAAACCAAATATATCCAGTCATGTAGGATAACATGAAATGAAGACAAAATTCAATGTATTTAAAAGGTTTTCTATACAACATCAAAAAAACAAAAAGGAGGAAGTAGTGAAAAATGCACGTGAAGCTACTAATGCCCTATCTTCCTTTTCTACTGCCTTTAGCTAATCACTTTTCATAGGGACCTAGTTGACACAAATGCACATTTGAACCATTTATGTTTTGGGTAAATAATTCGTTTTAACCATTTCTAATTTAGACGTTCATGTATATCTCACGTGAACAGTTTTTTAAAAATTAATTATACCATTCCAAACATCAAAACATGGAATGCATGAGCAAAGGGGCATCATTTATATTTGAGTAATACAATTTGGACCTAAAAATCTGACCTAATTTACTGACATAATGATGTGGCTTCAGCAGAACCATTGGATCAACACTAAGTTCCAATGTTTTATGGCCCCACAATCGATTTAAAGGTCATAGTGAATTAGGTTTCAATAGCATTGTTCTTTATATTTTGCTGCCAAATAAAAAAAAAAAAAAAAACCTTAATCAAATGTAAAGACCACCGGATCTTTGGGGCAAAAGCTAAAGCTTATGGATTGAGGATGAGATACATGAATCGCCAGGGAAAAAATTCCTCAATGAATTTAATTTATTAATTATTTTTTTGGCAAGTTCGAGTTATCAAATTTTATAGACCGGAGCATCCTGCTAAATAATATTTTAGAAGAAGGCCCTAAAAAAAAATACAAATCAACAGTAATCAAAATCATTTTAGTTGAGATTTAAAAATTATCATGTTTTATCATTAACCAGCATTTAGTTTGTATGCCTTTTCCTTTCAAACAGGCACTCTGTTTCCATTTTCAGAGAAGCCTAAAACTCTAGATCACCTATTTATAAATCCAAAAATGAAATGGCTCAGGGTCTGTTTTAAGATGCGTTCTATCTTTCAAGCTAATCAATGCACCTATCTTACTTCTCAGGAATGCAAAATTCAAATAACTAAACAAAAGTCAGCTAAGGATGCAATTATATTCAGTTAATCATGCAATTCATATTCTCAAGAATCAGAAGACACTAGGAAGTTCAAACGGTAGAGAGCTATGCCTCTAAAGGACCACAATTGCCGCAGTTCAGATTTATCTGCACTTTCATAAGTACCATTTACTTATAACTACCAAAGTTTTGCAGTGGGCACAATACTATAATTTTCTATTTTTATAACTTAACATGCCAAAAGAAGTCTTACTTGTTCATGAAGTGCATATTTTGAACGACCATAAAACATTTTGAACCTTGCCTCGCTATTTTCCAGTCAAAATTAATTGGAAATGTTAATTGCACAAAACTCCCACCAATAAGGAACCTTTCCAAATCATCTTCCTGAATTTATTTTTTCTTTGTTTGAACAAAACTTAAATTCATGATAACAATTCTGGAAAACTCATGATTCATGAGAAATGCAATTCCAACTGCTCGAAGTAAGAATCAGAACATCTACATTTCACAAGGAACAAGATGCCTGTGGGAATTGTAATACCCGAGAATCAAGTCAATTCGACAACCAAACTTTTCTCATTCTTGAGAATATAGACTTTCCAGCTTGATTGCCAAGGTAGTGATCCACACACTAAAGAAAAAAACTGCAAAATTGCATTTAAATGGAGACACACATGGAGATAGGGAGACAATTTTACGATTTTGACATGGGATAAACACTGGGAAAGGAAAGAAAAGCAAAAATTAATTAAGTTGATGCAAAACCATGTGCATATCAATCACAACAGTCTCAAATCCAGTACCAGGCACACTGATTGCATCTTATGGCACCTCAAATTATGTAATTAAATCATTATATAGAACGTATTTCTTTACCCTCTATGACATCAGGTTCCTATAACCGGATCACTTTTTCATGTGGACAGGCTTCTTTTTTAGGGGAAGGAGGGGGGGTGTCATTACTTAGTTTAATAATGTTTTCAAATTCTGCTGCTCAATCATCTGCTCAATCAAATTGTTGAAGCATCATACACACTAACAATTGCATATATCATATATGCTTGTCATAGAAGCCAATTCCCCGTAAATTCATTCCACATTAAATGTAGTGCAATACATCATCACTAAAAAGTACCGACAAACAATAGCATTCATAAACTGAAAATTCAGGTCCTGTTAGAACTTCAAAAACGCTGGGGAATATTCCTATCATTCAATGAGAAAAACTGATTGAGAAACATTAGAGAGATTAAAAAAAAAATTGCATTTTACCTGGCGAGGAACTGCAAGCGACCGAAGAAGGAGTAGCAGGAGATGCACATTCTGAAAAACCTGTGACTCTAGGACTTTTATCAGCCAGAGTTGAGACAAGAGAAGGCATAGGCTCTGTGTTATTGCCAGCAATGGACATTCTATCTTTAGCTGCATTATCATCAGGTCCTTCAACTTTCTTCTTCTCATACTTGGCCAACCCCTCACCCCATCCGAGACGTGGCTTCTTCCGAGAAATTGTTTCTTCAGTAAGAGCAACAGATGTAAAGCAGGCAGCAGTATCACCTGAAGGAGACTGTACTGGTGTCACAGTCCTGGGCTGTGCCTCAGCCTTTGTTTCAATGGAATCCACTCCCATGCTCTTGGAACTACTTGAATGGCTGAAACCAGAACCTCGTGAGGACAAGCTTCCAGAACGGTTCCATTTCATAGGCTTCCAATCAATGGATCCCAGTGAATTCTCTCTATCAAATCTCTGGCCTGTGCCCAAGCCACTGACCCCACCACTCTTATCTTGCTGTTCTTTAAAATAGTGTTGATCCCATGAGTGCAGACAATCAGAATGAGGAGGATGAGAGGTGGGTGTTAGTATATCATCAACTAACCTCTGCTCATTCACATCAGAGGGTCCACCGAAACCACTTGGTGAGGCAGTGCTTTCCCAAGATTGATCTTTCCAATCCTTCTGGCTACAGGACCCCCGGCTGTCCCTCCCATTTCTGCCATATTTTCCAATCCCACGAAACCCACAAACCCGGTCATCATCAAAACTCTTCTCATTGGACCCAGACGACATAAGCCCATGCCCAGATTCTTCAGAATGCAGGTGCCATCCACCCTGCTTACCCTGACCTACAGCAGAAGAAAACATTCAAGCAACAAAAGGGTAAGAAAAAACACCCAAAAAAAATTTACTCAACACATACAAAGAATATGTTCACATGAAATCAAAGGAAGAGATAACTTGTCCAAGAAAACAACAAAAACGAATCTCAAGTTGACAAAAGCAAGCAAGAGAACGCCAGATCTACACAATAATCATGACTAGATCAACAACAGAAAGGGATAACCATGACCGACACATCAGATCTGTGCCCATCAAATATATCTATCCATGTGTGTTCGGGGGTACATATGAAACAGCAGGGAAAAAAAAAGCTGCGGTAAAATTGATAACACAGCAGACTAATATTAAGAGGGGGTCAGCGACTCTCATCAAACCATCTTTACATAAAACCCTAGATGTGACAAATTGGTGAGGAAATTTGTTCAAAAAATGAGATGAGGCATATTTTACCATGTCCTTGAGATTAAATGTTGCAACTGACCGATAAACAAAATTTTGTTTCCTATCAAAAAATTGTTGCAATTGACTGGAAAAAATCAAGATTATGTATTAGATACATGAATGGTATCTGAAGAAAAGTACTGCGGCCATTTTATGCAACCCTAGATTTTGGACCATAAAACATAAAAATAATAAACCAAGTCGATTTCAAAGAAAAAAACCCTCAAAACTTACCGGAAGGTCGGCGGAACTCGTTGGACCCCCATCGAGACGGACCGTGGTGCGAAGCCTCTCTCCATCTTGAAACGGTCCCTATAGAATCCGACGACCTGTCGTGCTTCCTCTCCTTGAAGAAATCCTTCCGATCCCAAGGCAATGGCTCCGGCGGCATGAAATTCCTCCGCTCAACGGCATCGGCCACCACACCGCACACACAAACCAGAACCAAAAAAACTAGTGTTCCGATTCTACCATCGCCCCAAGGTTGAACCAGAAAGAGCTGGAAATTCGAGATTTCTATGGTTTCCAAAATCAGATCGATGAATCCGCAGAGCTTCGTGCTTGGTTGCCCTCAGTGGATTAGGGTTTCCAGATGATGTTGATGAAGAAGAACCGTTCGTTCTTCAGTTGGGGCAGGCCAGTTCCTCTCTCTCTCTCTCTCCTGCGTTGAAGAAAATCTGTGCGAGAAGGTGAGAACGTGAGCCGATAAGGGACAAAGACAAAGAGAGCCTTGAAGACTTGATGAGAGAGAGAGAGAGAGAGAGAGGGGGGTGAGAAGATGATTTCTTTGCTTTGTGCCTCAACGGCGCCATTAAACGCCAATTTATTTTTTTTTTCGAGTCCGCTGAATTATTAAATTAGAAACCAAAAAATAATTGTTTTTTTTTCTATATTCATCTTTTTCCTTTTTTTACTTTTTCTTTTTAGGGTTCATTTTCTTCATTGTGTTCCTATTGTTATTCCATAAATGCCCCTGGTCAGGCTCTGAAATTGCAAAAAGGGGTTCGGTCCAATGAAAGTATCTTTTACCCAGTTTACCATCTTAAGAAAAATTGAAGAAAATAACAATCACTATGCTAATAGTGAATTGTCGTAACTATTCAAGATGTCATTTGTAGGATTGTCAATGGACCGAAATGGGGGTGGGGTGTATAGTCTTCATCCCTATACCCGTTTAAAAAAATTTCGTCCATTCTCGGTTCATCCCCGTTAACGGGGATAATTTTCATTCTTATCTCTGTTTGCGGGTAAATTTATAATCTTTGTTCTCGTCCCTTCTTTTCCCATACCCACCCAAGCCCAAGCATAAGCCCAATCCCAAGCCTAAACCTAAGCCCAAGTTCAAGCCAACATAATCTAAAGTTCTAAATAAATTCAACATTTTTAATAATCCAACAACATTCTAAATAATTTAACACAACATAATGTAGCATAACATATTCGAACGTAACAAAAATCACAAATATCCAAAATACTACTTAAATTTGATATAATTTAACATTACACAACATAACACAAATAACATAACGGGTGGTAGAATCATCTTAATCAAATATCTTCATGACTCAAGACGGAAACTATACTCTCATTAGTTAAGAAAAGACTCGCAAATAGAACAAAAACTAATGTCACAAGGTTGAGTACTCATTATTTTATCGCTATGATACTGAGAAAAGACTCGAAAATAGAAGAAAAATCATTAAGTTTGTTTGTTTGATCCATTCATTAAAAAAGAATATAACTTTCATCCACCAAAATCAGTGCGACGAGAACATCAAGTTCTGTGAGTAAATGTAACCAAAAGCATATCTCTAAAGATCATTTATGAAAATATGTATTCGTAAAAAAAAATATTTGATGAGCATGTTTTACATAAGAATACAGAGTAATATTATTTCTTGATGACTCTTGGACAAATTAATCTATGACGGTTGTGTATCCTTTTGCATTGTGGTGCTTGAATTTTTATTATTAGGCCTAAACACTGGGACCTAGCATATGTAATTAATATATGCTTTAAGTCCTTGAAGAGTGAAGATATGGTAATTCTTGAAGACTTCTCACTTCATCAGCCCCATCTTTTTCACTTTTTTGTGGATTTTTTCCTTTATTTTTGTTTCTAATTGATGTCTTATAAAATGTGGTATTACTACGCTATCAGTTAAAAAGATGGGATATTACTCCTAATATATAACATATATTACAATTGAAACATTAGAGCGGCTCAATGCAAAAGCCTTCCGTCATTGCAAGGTAATAGTCGAATGTCATGAGTTTTACTCTAAGTGTGAAAAGACAGTTTCCATCACGCAAAAAACTTGACACCCAAATAACAAGTAAAAACGTCCAGAAACAAAAAGATATGATCGGTATAGGCTTTTTCTAAAATGATTTGAGAAAACATAAACCTGATCTCTAAAACATCTTTCCTAGCATGTTTTCAGAAATTATTTTTCTTTGGAAAAGGCACAGCATCATGCAGGAGCAGCATTGTACTGGTGGGCTTTAGCAGTATATATATATATATATATATATATATATATATATATATATATTACGAGTAACGGGGACAAAGCGGGGCGGGGGTAAGGGTAAGTTCATCCCCGCCTTTATCCCCGTGCGGGTTTATACGGGTATTCCTATATCCTTCCACTGTCCAATACATATAGTCCATTCCTTGATCCAAACGAGACGTGTTTGGACG